TAATACCTCAGAAGATGTGAAAATTGTAGATGAACGAAAGACGTGTAAAATTTTTGGAATGAATAAAAAAAATTTTTAGTAAATAGAAAGCCTGGTGAGCGGGTAAATATTTTAGAATATTTTTCATTCTATTAAATTTTGCAAAGAATTCATCTCTAAAATGAAATATAGCTTTTCCCCCTCTAATAGGTGAACCTAAATGGGTAAAGTTGGCTTTGTCCACTAAAATAAAATTTTCGGGTGGGCAGTTCGATTCAGAAGGGGAATAAAATTCACACTTATGAGGGTTTAGTGAGAGTCCTATTATAATAAAAGCTAAGCGATTTATAATTGATGGAATTTTTATGATTTCGTTCTAAGGGCCTACTAGTGTGCCATCGTCCAGGTACCATACATTTAATTTAAGATCACAATTGGTATTTATTTGATATAAAGTCACTTTTGAGTCTTTTGAACGTATAATCTAAAAAAAATTGCTCTGGGGGGGGGGGTCCAAACCCGAACCTTCCCCCACCTCGCAGCTATGTCATTGCTTTAGACACTCCTTTACGCTCCAAAAAAGGGAAAACAACGCTACCTGACATTGTAATTCATAGCATAAAAAGTCCACATATATCACATATACAAAAATATAATCCGTTTTGATTTATTAAGTTCTTGTTTTTTCAAACAAGGGCTACAATTAAATAATATAATTGGAGAATCTTTTGATGGTGCAGCTATCATAAGAAGTAAATTTGTTGGCTTGCAAGCTTAAATTAAGCAAAAAGTTCCAGACAGTAGATATATTTGTTGTTATAGCCACATTCTTAACTTTTGTGTTTGTGACACATGTGGTAATCTCGAGGCGGAAAATCTATTTGGATTACTAAATAGGCTTTCCACATTTTTTAATAAATCTTATAAAAGAATGGAAGTTTGGACGTTTGCAAGTGTGAATAACCCTCTTATTGGTTCAAAAAAATTAAAAAGGCTTCAAAAAATTGGGGAAACAAGATGGTGGGCACGGGAGAAAGCAGTTTTTTAGAAGTTTAATAAAAAAGATGCGCTAATATCTACTACAATAAGTGTCTTACATTATATATATATGCAAATTCAAAACCCACCTAACGGCACAAATTTTTTTGATTTTGAAATAAATGTAGACATTTTGACTGCCTGGAAAATGGTTTAAGATTAAATTTTCTTTAAATTCTATAAATTTCCTCTCAATACATACGAAAGCTACAAATATGGCATTATCGATCGATAAAGATTTGGCTGTTTAATAACATAACGTAGAATTTGTGGTAAAAAGAAAATGTGTTTTGATAAATGCTTAGATAAACGTCCAAATGACTCTTCAAATTTACAGAATTGAAGTGTTTCGCAATATCATTGACCAGATGGTAACTAGTTTTACTGAAAGATTTTCGAAAATCAACATTTAATAACTGATGCTCAATATTTCTATCCTAGAAGTTTTGATGAAATTAATAGGGAAGATATAACTAAAGAGGCTTTGAAAAGAATCTCTTCGTTAGCAAAGGTAGATAGGGACAAACTGCGAGAAGAACTAATTTCATTCTCTAGTATATATAGCAATTTACTCATTGGCTTTAAGAAGAGTACAGAAAATTTCATCTATCATAGTGATTACACGTCAGACAGTGAAAGTGAAGAATTTTAAGATTCTATGAAAGAAAGTTGCAATGGAGATTTTTTAACCAAATTTGGTAAGTGTATATGAGATGTTATGTCGATACAAAATGCATATACAAATTTATATATAATATATGAATATCTACTCACTTTATCTTTTTCACAAGTAAATTGTGAACAAACCTTTAGCAAATTAAAAATAGACTGCTAGCAAATATTGGACAGAATTATTTAGAAGCCTTTTTAATGATGTCTGTAGAAAGGAAATTATTAGAAATAAAATTAAGTGAGATTCATGAATATCTGCGCAAATGTTCACCATTAATGAGAAAAATGTTAAGCTAAACTTGATGGAAATTTAACCTTAATCACAATTAAATCCTTTTCTTTCTTAATGTTCAAAACCGATTTAAAGGTAAACGTTTGATAATTTCTTATAATATTCATTATATATCATTTAGCAATTTAATTTAAACACATTTATTCATTCTAATTCTACTTCTTTTTCTGTTTCGGTAATTTACGATTCTAATATGTTTGACCAAAATGCAAGTATGTTAAAAACCGAAACAGAAGTAAATTTTTATACAATTACCGATATTCATATTTTACGATATTAGTTTATTTTAGCAATATAAAAAGAAAATTTATTTTCTTTGTCTCACTCCTATGTTTCAATTTTTAGACCAAACCTTTTGTGGCAGATGAGAGATTTAGTCAAATGCTATCGATTTTGAGCGGCGCGCAACGATTTGCATCAAGCTCACTATCAGCAGTAGACCTACATTATCAACAATAATTTACATATTTTACTTCTTTTTTTAGAAATATATTACATTTTTATATTATTATATTTCGTTTATTATAAAAATATTCCAGAGCTTTTATTTAATTCTTATCAATATTTTATTTTTTTGTTCTATAAATATTTTGTTAACTATTTTTTTCTCAGCCTTATAAATAAAAAATAAAATTATATATATAACAATTAAGCGGTGTAATTAAACTGAGAATTGACAGGTAAACTGAGAATGCACAGGTAAACTGAGAATTGACATGTAAAATTTATATTTTATAGACTATCAATTTTATTTTAAAAATATAAATAAAATGTTTTTATTATGTAAATCAAATTTATCCAAAATTAATTTTATCTAAATTAGGGGTGTACCGATACCATTTTTTGGAGGCCGATCCGATATTCCTGATATTAAATTGATATCGGCCGATTACCTATCCGATATCATATCTAATTTTGTATTATGTATAGATACCAATGGTTTTAATTTTTAATATACTTTTTATTAGTATAACATCTATAATTTAACTATACCATAACTTATGTCATTTAAATATATTATAATGATCAGTTATAGTTTATAATCAATTCAATTGCAATTCTAAAAGTATATAAAATATTTTTATTGTTAAATCACTTTTATATAATAATTAATATATTAATCTATATACATAAATAAGTAATAAACAAATATATATGAAATTTGAAATAATTATTTAAAATACTCATTAATATATCAAAGATTTCTTTTTAGAAATACCAAAATTTCAAATTATCAGAGGTTAGCCTGCGGCGATTGTAACTGTCAATACCACCAGCTTCATTAAAAACTGATTCCGAAGAGATTATCGCACACTTTTATAAATAGGATTTGTAAAAAAAAATAACAATATGGCAGAATATTTATAAATTAATTATTATTATTAAAAAAATATACATAAAAATGGACTTCGATTTTATTTATAAAAATAAATAATTTTAGACATAATTTTTTTTAAAATTTATATTTTGTTAAAGACGCCATTTTATATCGGATCGGATAGGAAAATTTATAATATTCACCGATAACCAATATTTTAAAATGGGTGAATTATCGGCCCGATCCGATAAAAATATCGGTACATCCCTAGAAGAAATTGTAGTCCATAAATTTAAAATATGTATAGAACAGATATGTTACATAGAAAATAAAAAATCCATAATAAATTTTAAAAATCATAAATATATTTACATTAGATGGCGTAATAGATTAATAATTTAGTTTTTAATTTAAAAAATATGAATTATAGTAGCATAATCTTTACTTTAGATTAATTTATTTGGTACAAACTGATATAATCATAAAATGAAAAACAATTAAGTTTCCATCATTATTTTTTGAGTTATGATGTCAATTCTCAGTTTAGTCAATTTTTTTAAGATTTTTGGGATTTTAAAAATATTTTCCCGGCGGCATCTATTTTCCAATGTTGTTAAAGTAGCGTGCTTACTTTTAAAAAGAAATAGCAATCGCGGTAGCTCGCCATTAATTTATTTACACATTTAAAGTAACTTTACAATTAAGCAAAAGATAATTTTTATAAAAAATGGTCTTAAGTAAAGGTGACTTGCGTATGATTAAAATTTTGAGACGAGAAAAAGATTACGGAGCCAGAAAAAATTTCCTAACAGGAGATGGTCTATCGCAACCTTTAATCGATTGATTGCAAAACTTGATGCTACCATATCAGCAAAAAAGACGGTATGTGTAGACCACACACACCTCGTATTAATGGAAAATGTTAATTCTGTTAAAACAATAGTAGCCATGAAGATAGACCTTGCACCCATGGAACAATTTTATTCATGGCTAGATCCTGAGATTGTTTCCTTTTTTAAACATTTCACTATAGCTCTTTGTGTATAATCCGATGCGCTTATGCAAAATACTATTCTTTCGCGAGTGGGTGCAAGGTATTCACTTATATTTCCATTTCAAACCATTTATATTTATTAGTAAATACTTAACCTAGTTTATAAATGAAAATAGTTTTTAAAATTACTCACAAATTATAATAATTTTTAGTCTAATTAATTTGTTCTCATATGTTCAAAAATTTTATAAACTATAATAAGAAAGAAATAGTTACTATCTAAAAACAATAACAATATAATAACCAAATCAAACTCATTTTATATTAGAATATTTAAATTTCGTAAATTATTAGAACATAAAAACAAAGTCAGTAAAAACCATACGAATTTTTTTATTTCCTGGATCATAAAAAATTTTTTTTTTAAACCCAAGCAATCGGACTATGAATATTATACTCATCTATAATCCAACCTCCACAATCGGAAAGCTTATAAGAAAATAAAAAAAAAATTTTGTATCATCATTATCAATCTTAGAGGTATCATAAATATCATTTTAAATTTATCAGGAAGGTGAAGATGTAAATACATTTACAAGTGAAATCAACAAGAATAAAACATAAAAAATAATTTTATTTAAAAAAAAACAATTAATATATTATTCATATATATTCTATAAATAAATATAATATAAAATGCATTCAAATTTCCCGGGCTGGATCCTATTGATTTTAAAATGAATAAATATTTTTTAAAAAAAATAAAATAGATTTAGATATATTTTTTTTAAAAAAAAAAGAAAAATTCAGAAAAAATTTGTATTTTAAAAAACACACAAAAAATAATAATATTCGTTTATAATCGAACCTTGAATACGAATTCTAATATAATAAATATACTCAGATATGCACATTAATGTCACAATAACAAAAAAAATATCTTTTTTTAAAAAAAAGTGTAATTCAGTGGGAAATAAAAGCATCATGAGTAGAAATAATATAATAAAGGATTATTATAAATTTATGATTAGATATTATTATTATTTTATTTTACTTTAAGTATATATCGATTATATAATCATTTATGACTTGTAAAAAAAAATTTGAGTGCCCTTTTAGATTAATCTGTCTTTATTGTTCGGATCTTTGGATTGTTTTGGAATATTATTGATAGAGGATGTCGGTGACAAATTATTTATAGGAGAACTCTGAGCGGTTATTTTGGAAAAATCTAAATATATTTCAAAAAAAAAATTTGGATTATAATAAAAATCAGAGTTAGAAATGCTCTTCAGAAATCAAAAATCTTTTTGGAGAATTCTCAACAAATTTTGTCTAAACTTCCAACCTTAAAAAATTGTGATTCTTATGCATAAAAAATCTTTTATTATGAAATTTTTTAAATCTTCAAAATAAATCTTGCTCAAAATTTTGGAAAAAGAAAAATCAAATTAATTTTTTTAAAAAACTCTGATAAAAATACGTTATATAAATTTAGTTAAATAGTTAAAGTTTCCAATAAAAAAAATATATTTGATTATTTTTTTGTAAGGAAATATGCCAAATTTTTTGCTTCGGCATTGGGTTTGATAAAAAAAATTAAGTTTAGTGCTCAATGAATATCTGGCTAGGTCTCTCGGATCCGGATTTGAAAATTCACAAACCCGGCCAGGGATTTTTTTATTATTTTACTGTCCAAAATTGGTTAAAATTTTCGTTATTTAATAATTTTGACTAGATTTTTTGTAAATTGCTTTTAAAGAAAAATTTAAATATAATTTAAATATAATTTTTAATTATATAATTATTTTTTAAAAAATAAAATTGAAATTGGCCCAGAACGGATTTTTAAAATAACTTGGACTTCCGGGTGGGGTTCTATTGCAGGTCTCTGATATGAAATCAACCTATAGCTTAAAGACAATTTTTTTTTGCTTTATAAATGATGGGTATAATAATCGTAGTCTCTAAAACGCAAAATCAATTAGTTAAATGTTTCCAGGTAGGCAGTTACATTTCTATAATTATCTTCATAGGCTTAAGTGAGGTAGCATAAGTCCATATGAAAAATATGTATTATAAAGTGGCAGATATGGGCTGTTCGTTTAAGTAAAATGACTATGTAGAAGAGAACAAGAGTTTGAAAAATAAATCTTTCTTTTTGAAGAACAATTTTTGATCAAATTTTACCTTAAAATGCTAAAAACTTTTGTCATTTTCATGTAAAAAAAATCTTTCCAGGTGAAATCAATATTTTTTTAAAAAATTTGAAGATTTTTTTTCAAACTCTGGTTAAAATGAGTGGCTTATTTTTATAGTAAAAACAGATCATGCAAAGAATTCATAATAATATAATTAATACTACTTTGGAAAATTCCGCTTTAAACTGGTTAGTTCATTAAAAAAAATAAAAAGTTAATCTGTAATGTAATTTTTCCATTTAACAATATACCTTCAAATACCGTAGAATTTTTATCATCCTTCTTTTTACGACGACGTCGGACATTACCTCCTCCGTTTACATTGGCATCGTCTACCTGTATCTGGGGAGGTGGCTTACAAAATGAAGGAAGAGGAAATGGAAATGGGAACATAGGAGGATGGGCCATGTTGTTGGGGTTTTGACCACTCTGTAAGGACGATGTGCTGGAAGATATGGTAGTGGGATTTTCAGAAATTAGGGATTTTTTGGTGGTACTACGTTTCTTTTTGGTCACATTGCCATTGTGATCTGCTGTAGTGTTTAATATTTAAATATTATTACATTTTCTTTAATTAATTCTCCCTTATCTTTTAATTCTTTAACATAAATAAAAAACCATTGAAAATCAATAAGAGAAAACTATGTACATACCGTTGTTATGATCCGATTCATGGATAGCCGTGGTAGACAAAGTGCCAGGCATAAATGAGTTTGAATTCATATCTTAATAATAAATATTTTTTTAAAGTTTCAATATAATATATTAGAAAAAAAAATATGGTTAACAAATGAAATAGATAATAGATCCATTTCAAATAGTGATAATTAAACTAGCCAAGTAATCTTGTATATAGTAATTAGTGGCGTAGGGAGGTACATACTAAAAATTAATCGGTCATAATATATAATAAATCTGCGGCACAGATAGTAATGACCCATACAAAATAGAGGACGGAGGGACTCGGACATTTTTAAATTGAATTGCCTTGGTGAACAAGAAAAAATCTAAATTTATTTAGGATTTGGCCGTACTGCAGAAAATAGGCCCGATGTATGGGTCTAGAGATTTTAGTAGCAAAAGGTCAAAAAAAATATAACTGTGCCAATTCACCAATTTTTCACCGATATTACTAATAACCGATTGATTTTTATTTACCATCTATCTTTCAGAAAAGAATCAACATTTTCTAATTTAAAAAAAAACCCAACTAATTTTCAAATATGAATACCCCTTATACATAGTTAGCGCAAATTCGCGGCGAATTATACAAAATATATCGTATTTTTGTATTCTCCACCACGAATTAACGCTAACTGTGAATGAGGTGAGAGATTAAGTGTATTTTGTTTTTCAAAAGTTAATCATCTCATTTAAAATTTGTAAATGTTTATGACTGAATGTACTGTTGTTAGGTTCGATTTCCAACTTTTGAGAGCTAAATCAAGATTTTAATCAGAATATTATTACATAAGCCTCATAATTACACCAATAAAAGTTCAAACTTCTGTCATCTGTGGGCAAAATTTCCAAGCTTGTGTAATTTACTTTAGGCTAAAATCTTGAGTTAGCTTATTTTAAAAATAAGCTAACCTAGCAAGCTGAAGTAACTCATTAGATATTTTGGAATCCTTTGTTGGAAATAATATAACAAAAAAATATCAAATTTTTAGGTACTCTATCTTTTAAACATCAAAAATTGAATTTTGGTTCCTTTTTAATCAATTATTATCAAATTATGTATAAAATAGAAGTATTATATAATTATATATAGAATCATAAAATAAGCAAAAAGGGTCGATTTTCTTAGAAATATAGACTCGATCCTATATTCAAAATAGCTAAATATCGGTATCGATCCAATATTAAATATTGGGATATTTCTAAACATAATGCTCCTCTCCGTTAAATATAATTTTAAACTTTCAAATTGCGCTTTAAGGAATAGGTCTGGAGGCGGTAGGAAAGGCGGGGGAGGAAGGAAAGGAAACATCGGAGCCACTTGTTGTTGCTTGTTAAAATTAGTGGTAGTAGCCTTTTTATTCTTTTTCAGATGGGGTTTCTGATTATTGGATCTGTAACTGTCGGCATCACTGAGATGATTTATATCTTCAAATTTATCCGAATCCTTGAATCGATGATTGTTTTTGAGGTCGGATATAGTGGAGAGAAGCGTGGGGTTGAAGTCTGACAAAAGTTCGTATATAATTATAACTTCCATGGTTAATTATAAAAAAAATCAAACCAGTATTACAAGTGTATATAAATTATTATAACGAATGAATAGTTTATATATCTCTATCGAAACCTGATTTTTCCAGATTCCTTTCGAGCTCGTTCAACCTTGTCAATATATATATTTTTTAAATAAGAAAAATTATATTTTGTTATTTAAGCCCCCACCCCCTCGCCATAAAAAAAACGCCCTTAAATAGGTTTCACCGATGAAACTTCTTAAATGTCTTTTTCGGGACTTAGATCATTCCGGCCCATTATTCCTGGAAGGGAAAAATAGCTTATTAACGATATTCAGGGTAAGGTAGTAGCGAAATACATTAGTAAATAGTTATAGCATAAAGTTATTAATTTTAAAGCATGAATTATGAAAGTAACTTTAATTAAATACATTTTATAAAATATGAATAAATATAATCAACTTTAAATATATTAAATAACTTAAGATTATATTAAAACACTGATCGATATAAAAAATAAGGGCGAAAAGGGGTATCACCTGCAAAGATTATTTTTTATAATTCTCTTTCTATTAAATAACGGAAAAAAGTTATATATTTTATTTATTTAAAATTTTTTTTAGAAAATGCTATAAACCTTTTAATAATTTAAATTCCCACCTTTATATATTAAGATTAAAAGCTACTTTAAAATCTCCTTCAAGTTTATCTTCAAATTGTGAAAACTACAAATATAAATCTATAAACTACTCATCTATGTTTGGTTGGAAATTTAGTTTAGAATCGAAAAAAATAGGATAATGTCAATTTTAACATTCATAAAAAAAAATCATTAATCAATTTATAAAATTTATTAAATAAAAAATATTTGCAAATTCTAAATAAACTCATTTAAGCGTTCATAAGGTTTTAGAGGAGATAAATCGGCCTGAAAGAAACCAATTTTATGCTGAGATGTGAGATGGTGGATCAAGGGAAAATGGGAATTCAATCCAATCTTAGTCTTACTTTCATTTTCATACTCATGAATGCTTATAGGGAAATCAGACCCATTAATACTTGAATTTTGAATGATTATTTTGTTTAAAAACCTTTTTATAAACACTTACATTTGCCTAAGGCTACGGTTTTCGATCTGCAAGTTGTTGGCTCTTCTCTCGAATGAATGAGCCGTCATCTAAATCGAAAAAATTTTTTATAACAAACTTTTATAAATCACCGCTAATCGCGATTTGGCAAATTAGAGCCCAGTAAGTTGGCCCGAAGGCGGGCTTAAAATAATTTGTATAATTATGAGTAAAATATATTTTAAAAAAATGAACTAATATTTACAAGCAAAAAAAATAATTTATCTTAATTTATTCAAAAATAGAAAATCAGAAAAATATTATCAATCAAAATGCATTAGGGTTAATAAAAAATAAAATAAGAGATATCTATCTGGCCCAGAACGAAAACTCGTATTAAATCTTAATAGTCCATTTCGGTTAAGGTAGATTTCGAATGAGATACAAAATAAGCTTAGGCGCAACTGATCAATTTTAAATTTATCACCAAATATTAATATCATAAAATGGATGTCCAAATTTAATCATAGATGGGGAAGGGAATTCAATATCAATCTTCTGCCCAATTATTTTTATCTTAAATTTAATCGTATAACCAAGAGTTATAACAGTTACATTATTTTCCTTCAGCGTTTTATAATTTTACCGATTTCGTTAAAAATACCTTACATTCAAATAGTCTAATAAATATTTTAAAAAATTGACAGGATACGACTCAGATCTTTAAAAAAAATTCTCGGATTGAATCTATCGGATTTTTTTCAGATCTGTACTGGAGTTTTGTCAAAGTTAAGTGAACACTGGTATATTAATATGATATTTTCAAAAATTGGGTATTAAAAACAGGCAAGCACAATAATTATTTCCAACGGTTAAAAAATACTTTTTATAATAGAAAAACAATATCAAATAAGCATGTTCTGATTAATAAAAATAATAAATTACTTTGTGTTTATTCGCAGCATCTTCTAACTCGATATTCTAAGTTTTTTTAAAAAAAAAACAATATTATTTAGTAATAATATTTTGTTATACAAAAAAAAATGAAAGTTAAATAGCCCATAAGATTGTATAAAAATGATAAATATTTTATTTATTTCAATTTTCAAATCAAACGCTATGGACACAATATTATAAAAATGGAAATCGTAAAAATCAAGTCTGATATAACATAGGATGAATTAACAATTCTACCTCGAGGATCAAGAAAGAATAGGGTGATTACAATAAAATGCTGGAAATGAGCTATTTTTTAAACGTTTATAAGCGAAAATGATGTAATTAAATATTTTTTTAAAATATGAATTATTGTAGAAAATAGAGTAATACAAAAAATAAATAATGGTGGAATCAAGATTTTATATATAAAAAAATACCTCTCAAGATTCGGTCAAGGGGGTCATACCTTTATGTCATTTATATGTGAAATCTCGAGGTTTGGGTAATATTTTTTTAGCTATAATAATAGATTAGTTGTTTTTTTGTAAAAAACGTCTAAATAGAGGTTTTCAACAACATTACACATGCGTAACGAGACCAAAATATTATGGCTACCAATACTAATATCAACCAATGGAAAATCAAATATTGGTACAGTAATGTATTATCAATTGTTTTTAACTTTCAAAAATGGGAAATTTTACAGTTTACTCTTTTTTTTTGATACACGGGGAAAATAAAATGTAACATATATTAAAAATTAATCAGGTTGTTGCCAAACTGAGTAGAGATGGTAAAGTAAAATGATGACATCTTCGATTATTTAAAAAAAAATAAAATAAATAATAAATTTAAGACAATTATTATTATACTTTTTGTTTCAATTCCCTGAGCTGGTCATTGTGCTCCTTCTTCGAATAATCCAAATTTTCCCTTGGAACATTATTTTATAAATATATAATTGTTTTGAATGAATTTATTTGTTTTAAATTAATTAATATTATCTTTATTTATTTCGTTCCTTCAAATATGTTAGGCAAAACTAATAATAGGCAATATTAAAATCGAAGGGATTCAGTTATTATATTCACCAATCCTTTCCTTCTTATCGCTTTTGGAAAATATAAAAATGTTGTCATAAGTTCATGACCTAGTGGTTAAACAAAATGCGTTTTTTAAAAATAAATAAATAATAATTTAAATTACAAGTAGACGTCGGCCTTTTTATTGACTTGGTCATATTTCTTCTCCGATTCCTTAAAATTTTGGACCAATTTGTCTCGCTCGATAGTTAATTGCGTAATACTCCTAATAAATAAATGCACGTGATTAATTATTAAGATCGGTCTACGACTTAAATCAATATTTAAGTTTCAGAGAAAGCTATTTTTTTAAGGGACGCCTGGTGATCTGAAAAATAAGATCTTTTTTTCCCCAGAAAGCTATAACAATATGCTATTTACAAGTCTTACTGGAGCTTGTAAAAAAGCAATCAATTTCCGTCAGGCCCTATCCAGGCAGAAGAATTTTCAATATTTAATAAAAGAATGTTGGGGGGGGGGAAGGTGGAATATAATAAAAATTGTGTGTTGTCGAGAAGAATAACGGATACTTTTGCAATTTGCATTCCTTGTCTTCGAAATATTTTGATATGAAAGACAGCTTTTCCTCCATTTCTTTGTTGGAGGTCTCCAGATCCTTTACGCGTTTAGAGTCGGTATTCGTCTCCCATTCATTAGCAGTTATTTGATCTGCGAGAAAATATTTTTAATAATATTACCGATAAAGATTATAAAAAAAAATGATGAACGTGACAAAGAATAGCTATATATCATAGTAAATTCCAATTTTTTTTAAGGATTTTAGAGTAATATAAATTACTGCATTTTTTAATTTTTCAAGCCAGTCCTGACCAGAATTTTTTTTTTCAAAAAAAATTTTACTTGTCCACCCAGCCCGGCCGAATTTATTTATAAATATAAAGAAATTTATTATATTTTTTTTCAATAATGTTTTACATTTTTTATATCGAATATAATCGAGTTTTTTTTATCATTCGGCAAGAAAAAAAATATTAGCTCCTTACTTTTTTTGCAAAAATTTTTAAAATATAGCTATTTCATTTCAAAATTTAAACTTGACCAATTTTTTTAAAGAAAGTATTAGACCTGATTTTCTTAGATAGGGTTGTTATAAATCCCGATTCGGGTCGATTTATAAAAACGGACCATTTAAGATTTTTGTAAAAAAACAATATTATGTAAGCTCGGAGATTTTGCTCATAGATGGCAGAACTCGGGCTTAAACTTACCTAGCCTACTTTTGCAAATCTCCAATGTATATTATATTATTTTGATGATTATATAATTGTAGAGTGCGAGCTGTGGTGAGGGAAGAAAGGCACAATTGCTCAAAATAAGGAATTTAAATTTTTTTTTTACCTTAAACTTACTTCCTTTAAAATGTTACGTCAAATTTCAATAATTATTTTGTCTATAAATTTTTGTGATAAATAAAATATGGGTGTGTCCAGGTTTTCGACTTTAGCCTAAACCAAACAGTTTTAGAACTAGGATACCCTATTATGTTTGTTATAAGTGTTTGGTAGCATCATTATTCCTTATTTTGTTTTTGTTGTTTTTCTCTTACTTTTTAGACTGTTTAGTAGAAGTTATATAGCAGTATAGTAGACCAGCTGGACCCACCCATAAATGAAAAAAAGAAATTTATAAACTTTTTAATTCCCATTTTTCTTGATCGAGTACAATGACTTTCGCTTTCAAATCTTGTAATTCCTGATTCAGATCTTTAGCTTCCTTCATGTGCTTTATAAGAGTACAAAGAGTAAAATAATAATAATTATTATATTAAATCATCAAGTTGATAAATTCATCAAAAAAAGAGAATAATATGGAGGAATAATCTTTCTATTTTATGTACCCCCCCCCTCCCCAATTTGTGCAAGCACATGTGGCGTCTGGTCGAATTAAAGGGAGGTAGGAGCTCTGTTCTCCATTTTTAAAATTATATACGGGCTGTAAGATTGGGTGCCTTTTTTTAAAAAATATTAACTAAATTATTTTCTTTGTTTCACTTTCGCTTTTATTTTAATTCACCAAGGTTCAATTATAATCATCCAATGCCAAAGATACTAATTACTTAGGCAAAGTTTAAATTTATTACAAATAAAAATGGCGAAATAAATCTAAACATACGCCAAGGAATAAATTAAAAACTAAGAATAAAAAAAATTATTATTCTAATAAATGAATATTGATAATGAATATTATTTTGAAAAACCGTCATTTTTATTTTTAAAAAAAACATTTGTGAATCTTTATTTCTCTTTTATTCATAAGAGAATAAAAATTTAGTATTATTTATTCATAAATTTCATTCATTAATAAATATTAGAGAGAACTTGTTAAATATGTGCTTAAGATGAATTATCGAAAAAATGCAAAATTTGAAAGTTAGAGAGAGAACTATATGCTCCGACAACCTAGCTGATAAGATGAATATTAAGATAGAATTTTTAAAAATCGCTTTCTTGAATAAAAAGGAATTGATGATATATTTTACCTTAATCAGGGTTGCCTGATCCATTTGCGATATTGAACCCTTGATTTCTTGATTAACATTGGCAGATTCCTGTATATTTTCAAAAGTTTTAGGCACCGAAACATAAATACTCTTTGCGAAAGCGGCATCCGGTTGCATTCATGGTAGCGTAGGAATGTGACTTTACGTCAAAACAGCTGATTTGACAGCTTCTAGCAAGAGACATTCAAAGTGATTTTAAAAATAGGCCTGTGTTTGGCAGATATTTGATTTTTCCGTAAAATTTTAATAGAGCCAACTTGGCAAAATTATGATATATATATTATTTTTTTAAATTTAAAGGTAATGTTTCGATTAATACTATTGGAAAATAAATTACAATATATGCTAATCGCTTTATATTTTAAGAGCTGCCTAAACAATAATACTTATAAATCTATAAATAAAATAGTAAATTGACCAAAGAGGAAAAATTAAACAAGTATTTTTATGATATGATCGAATTACAAAATACGGGTATCAAACATGATTTATAAAACGGTTTTTGTAGAAATAGAGCCATATAGTAGATATTCAAGAGCCTTAAATATTAAAAATGCGTTGACCGAAAATTTTGTCTAAAAAAAATAAAAGATCCAGCCAGGCTGGGCCTTACTTTTCGTAAAATTTTAACAGGCCAGGTTGGTAAATTAGGTTTAACAAATTTATCGGTCGTAGATGAGCCGGAAAAACATTTAAATAACGGACCGGGTTTTGCAGATCTCTAATTAGACCTGATGATAATCAGGCATGGAGAATGCTACTGAAGGAAGTTGAAGTAAGTCTTCCTGTTTTTCAAGATACTATAAAATCTTGTTGCATTTCGCATAACATAATTATTTTAGATAAGGAAAATTTAAGCAATTTTTTGATGGGTTAATTTGCAAAAAATTGAGAATTTTACTAAAGGAAATTGAAGTGAGACTTTCTGTTTTTCAGGATGTTATAAAATCCTGTTGATTTTTACGTAAATATTTTAGACAAGAAAAAATTTTCTAATTTTAGCCTTTGAAATTTGGGTGCTCAAATTATGGAACCAGCAACAAAGTATTAAAAATACTACAAATAAAAATGTAAGAAATATGTTTTCTTATTATTTTAAATTACAATTGATATACTTCTATGGCAAAATAACATTATTAAATAACACTAATATTTATAATAAACATATTAAATTTTTTCTTTATCATAATCAACATTTTTTTAATAATATGAAATATAATATTTATAATAAAATATATAAATTTTTTATCATTAATAATGAATATAGAATAAACTGTCTGCATTAAGTTTATTTTATCTTGTCTCAACGCTCAGGTGGAAGTGCCAGTAGCTTTCCATCTATATTTTTTTTTCAAAAGCAGAGGATGTTTTGCTTGCCTCTATTTACAATCTTTCATGTATAGATATTTATTCATGATATCCTTGCTTGACTTTTGGAATAGCACTATCAATAATAGAGCAACAATCTGATTATTCTTTACCTAAATTCACATATTTTTTTAGTGACCATTTGAAAAATAAGCGGAATAATTTAAAAAACTATCAACTTAAAAAGTTAGATACCAAGTAGGTCAGCAGGGTTAGCCTATATACCTTCATGGCCATTATATGATGCATCATACTTTTTAATCAGTTCATTCAATGCCACGCACCCCAAAAATCAAATCTTAATACTTCATGAAATTCGAATATAACACTAACACCCAAACTAATTATTATTGATGGGCCAAACGACTTATCAAATGAAGAAAAATTTATAAACAATCAAAATCCCATAAAAAAGAAGAATAAAATTTTGAAGAATTATTTTAAAAAATATCAGAAACTTCTGTTTTTTGCTAAATATATAGATGAAGAACTATTGGCTCCATCATTTGAGCATAGAGATAAAATCGATATGGACCTAATGCAAATTTTTTTATAAGGGTCAACTTATTAAAAAATAAATTAATTTTATAATTCATTATTAATGATAAATAAAATTAAATAAAATGTGGATTAAGATAAAATAAGAATAATTAAATAAGTATGCTATCCATTTTAAAAAAAATATATATATTAAACTTATTAAAAGTTTATTATTGATATTATGCAATAATTTGCCATGGCAATATATCAATTGAGATTATTAAAATAATGAGAAAACATATTGTATTTTTATATCGATTCGTAGTATTTATTTATAATACTTTGCTGGTTCAATAATTGACTACTAAATATTTACCTTTATAACTTATCCAAAATAATGTTTTGTGAATTATATAACATCCTCAAAAACATGAAAACTTCCTTCAAAAAAATTCTCCTTTTGTAGTAACGTGTCCAAAACCACACTATACAACTGTTTAGCCCTAGAAAGACAGTAGTTAAAATTTTTGCCTGTTGATGCTACAATGTTAGAGGTTGTTGGGAATTGGAATAGGAGTTCTCCGTTTTTAGCTTTTTTATAGATAATAAGAAGTTTTTAATTCTCCTTTATCAATCAGGCTTCCATAACTTCTTACATCGAAAATCATAAATTTTCCATTATAATTCATGATGTGCCATTTGATTTTTATATAAAGGAATATTTGTAATGAATTATTATTACATTTAGAATTAATTAAATAAATGTAGTTATCAACGAGAGCTATTTATTTTTAATAAAATAAATAATAAAAAAACGATTAAATATTTACCTTATTAAAAAAATCACTATGAATATCTTGTTGGAAGCCGTCAAAAAACAAGTCGGGTTCTGACGCTACTAACATAAAGATTTAATACGAGATTTACCTTTAATTTTTGCAACACTTTCTCCATCGCTTCGACTTTTTCTGAATCGTGGATAGCTTTCAGCTTTAGGTCCTCCTTTTCGCCTCTTAAAATCTCGATTTCGGTATTTTTGGTTTCTAAACATCGCGTTATTTGATCGAATTGGGATTTCACAGAGGTGATCTTGTTTTTTTTGCATAAATAATATTCTATATCTATCCGATTTTTCCTTTATTTGATGATGGGTGCATCAGGAATTTGCCCTTATTTTAATGAAAGGTGATTCAGAAATTTTCCATTATTTTGATAAAATGTTAATTTAGTGTAGTATATGGTGAGCTAGCGTCAAATTTAATAAAACGCGCTCAAAAAACGATTTAAAGTTTTAAAAATAACACATTGCCGCTAACATATATATCTAATACCTTCAATATGAACAAATATTTAAAACATATACCCAAATAAGTTAATTTTTAGTTGTCGATTTCATAATAACTCCAAAAATTGTCTCTAAATGTACAATAAAAATTTAAACTATACTTTTGTAATTTGTCTAAAAAAAATTAAATCTAGGGGTTTTGCATACCCTATTTTAGATCTATTCTTGCCCTAATATATATTCGCAAAAGGTTTGGGTAAATTAAATTTTTTCCTGGATATATAAACAAAGAAATTGAAATGCGTTAAAATTTAAAGATCGTAAGTCTTTAAGCCTTAAATTAAAGATGAGGGTTTAAATGTGTACTCAAATTATCAATTAAATGCGTATGCTCAAATTGAAGTGGAATTTTAATCTACAACCCCTCTAAGAGTGAAAAAAATATTTTTTTAAAAATGAAATGGAAGTAATATATAATAGCGAATATCAGGTGCTTTTAGATTATTTTTATCACATGATCCCGGTTTAGAAAAATTAGTTTTAAGACCGAGCTGGACCTTCACCCCGGTTTGGGGCTAAAATGAGTCAACTCGGGCCGAGTTTGCCGGTCTCTAACCAAAATAATTGTCAATACATGTATAATAATTTTAAGGGCGACTATAAGCATTTAAAATATCAAAGCTGACATACACATCAGTTGCATAGGAGGAAGGAGGCCAAGAGATATCACCTTATAAAGAATGTATATTATTTTTTAACTTTTTTTTCGTAATGTATGTTGAGAAAGTCGAGATCTTGGCAACGCTTATTGCTTTCATCTAGGTTAATCATATCTATTTAAGAAAAAAAAATTTAAAAAATTTCATTTTTAAAATTATATGAATAATTGATGACCGAAGAAAATTATAGACCTCCTTAAATTATTAGGTATAAAGAATAATGCAACGCTAAACTCGGTCGCTAAAGATGAGGTCCTTATTATCCAAGCTAAAATTATTGTAAGGGTGGCGACTTTTATACTAAAAAATGTAATCCCAAAATTAATTCCCGAATTTAAAAATAGAATCAAATTGTTAAGAAGAAAAAAGAGAATTTAATTGGAAAAATTGCGAGACCAACATTTACCTTTAATATATTGATCGCCCATATCTTGCTAAAAGGTGTCCATTGAGGGAGATATAGATTTTTTTTAAAAAAAGAGATTATTTATGTAATATTGAATAACTTTCTTTTTTCATTCTTTTATTCTCCCTTTCTTTCTCTCCTTCATTCTTTCTTATAATTATTTCCAATTAATAATTGAAGACCCGTTGTATTAGATTTTTTTTTTAAATACTAACCAGAGTTTCCTGTTCTGATATTAGATCCTATTTTTTTTATTTAAATGTTTCTGATTCAAAAAATTTAAAAATGCAGAGTCCTTTATCCGCCTATTGGTGTTTAGCACTAAGGGTTCTAGGATAGATGGAAGACTGACTCTATTCAAAATCTTTGCTTTGTGTATGCCGATTATACCCCCCCCCCCTCCCCTTCCATTTTTTTTTGGTTTGAATTTGCAGATGAAGAGGACAATAACTAGTAGGAATGCTGGTGTGGGAGAACACTTTCAGATTTCATTCAAAAAAATGCCTTTTAAAAATAACTATTATTCCTGGGCTTTCTTCGGATGAACAGAAGCCTTCATCTTTTTTTTATAAATGACGAGAAAACTGAGAGATGACAAATAATGAGTTTATTTCATTTTTTTTTATATTTCCAACAACAGATTTCCATTAGCGATGTTGTTGGTTTATATGATATGATAAAGTTCTAACTCATTACGATAAGCCATTCAAAAAAGAAAGTATGTAAACAACATGTTCACATAATATGGTTATAAATATTAACAATTACAAGAACTAGTTTTTTATAAACGAAATTTTCTAATTACAAAGTGGTGAATGAAGGATAGTAGCACAATTTTAACCAAAATTATGCAATAATTTTAGATTGGTTAAACTTAAATGTAAACTCTTTTTTAAATAACATAGATGTCAATCATCTTTTTACTTTCTAAAATTACGAGCTCGAAAAAAAAATGATTGGAATCAAATCTAACCTCAACTAGAACATTTAGCACGGACACATCCGACATTTTATCAGACTAAAGAACTCGATTCCAAAATTTATTTAGGACAGGATATGACCTATCTAAAGGAGAATATTGGGAAAAATTTTTTTTATCCGGATTAGGTCGGACCTGAAGAGAAAAAATGGAGTCAGGAAAAAATAATTTATAACACTCGATTTTTTTTTTCTTGTTACCTAGTTTTAGTGTTGTTAAACGACTTAATTTAAGCGCGATTTTAAATTAAGATTTTAGTCAAAATAATATTACGAGAGCTTCGAGATTTTGTTAATAAATGTCCTAACCTATCCGCCAACTATGAGCGAAATATATATTGCGTAATACTTTTTGACTAAAAAAACATTGGGTTGACCGTTTTGAAAAAATCGACTCGTTAAACAATTACTAACCTGCTGCCTTAAAATCCTACCCTGTAATAATCAATATATTTTGCAATTTTTTAAGAAATTATGTTGCCGGGTATTTTATCCTACGGACATTTTATCCGATATTAAAATTTAAATCTATGTGTTTTCATTCATTCTTGATTTCATACAACATATATATAATTATTTTTTTTTAAAAAAAACGTTAATCTTCCTGAATCCCAGGTAGAGAGAAATCAAACCGCTAAGGGTCAATATAATTGCCATCAAATTCCTGAACTTCTTGAAGAGCAAATGAAACTGGAAGGATTCTTGAAAGTCAGCCGTTTTAACCTCGGGATAAATGTTCGCGAACGTTTTCACAACGAAGTCTATGACGCTTTTTATTAACGATGTATCATTTAACATTATTATATTAAAACAAAAACACCCCAAATTAAACGTTTACCCGTTTGGAATTCCCGATCCAAATATTTTTTTTATTTAAATTAAAATATACCCTAGAATCATATCATGAAATGTCAATCATTTATAAAGCCCATTTTTTTTAAAAAAGAGTGCCAATCCTGTATATCGCCCAATTTTTTTAAAATAAACTTATCTCAATTAATGGAGGAATACTTTTCTGTTAAAATCAGGTAACCCTAGATTTGCTAGACCTCCCTACAATATCCGTTTTTTCAAAATTTAGTATACCCACACACATAATTCTTTATCCCTAACCCCAATACAAACATTTTAAAAAGAGAAAGACAATGTATCCTAAGAATATCAAGTCTTAGGTCGAGTTAACGTTCGAATGATTTCTAAATAGCAGTCCATATTCTAAACAACCAAGAAAGTATTATGATTTACTTTTGTTTTATTTGTACCAAAAAAAAATATAAATAATGCACAAACTTAAAAATAAACCAGAATAGGGTGTCATAGTTTAAAGGCGGAATAGCCTAGATTAGACAGAAATAAGTTTCAAAAATAAGACCGTTAGAACAGCTTTTTAACAACCATTATTACTAAGGCTAGTTATAATGCACGCCAAACTATTTTCTAAACAAAGACCAAATGTTGTCGAAATGTAATAAGACTCAGTAATTTTCAAATATATATTATCGGAATCACGTGGTCTGGCCAGATCTACTATATATCATCCTCACAAGTATGGGGCTACCAATGGTTTCAGAAAAAAACATGACTCTTGCGGGACACGAACCTAGATCTATAGGATTCGTGATCAGCGCACTGGCTGACTATGCCATTTACTATACACAAAAATATCAATTTTTTATTATTATTTATATAAACATATGACATTCTACAAACTATAGGTAAACTGTGAATGCTCTTAGTATATTTACTCCTAAATCAGTTAGGAATATAGTTGGGTATTCGCTAAATGTCGGTTAATTCGGCTCAATCTACAGGCGTGTGCCGAAGAAAATCCTTTAACATTAAGACGTATTAATTTATATTAGTTTATTTCAAATTCGAGCTGCTATATTTATAAGAAAACCCCCATGGCCAAGGTAATAGTTTTGGCTAAAAACTCGGGTTAGCCTGCTAGAAATTGGCTTAAATAGCTAAACATAAAATAATTACCCAACTATAGTTATAGGAATGCCATAAACATGGCAACTAGTTTTTACTGCTCTCTTTATTCTCTCACAGAATGGTGTTTCTAAATACCTCTTCCTCATTATGCAGTAATCTCAAAATGCTGTAGCAATTTCATTCAGAGATGATTGCAGTAATGAATAATCCTATTTGAAGATATAGTTGCTTGTACACAAGCAGTACTAAAGTGTATTATATACAGTGTAATGTTAGATACTGCATGCAGGAAATTGATAAAAATGGTAAGTCAAACAGCGGTCATCAGATTCGTGACAGCATAAAAGAATATCTCATTTCTCTTATGCAAACCTAATAATAAGCTTAGGTCGAATTTGGAGATTTTACGACGAGCATATGACAAGAAATAAACATATATAATATTACTACACTATGCAAAAACCATTAAACTTATCAAAGGTTAAACTTTTAAATATGAATCCTATTTTGGGGGGGGGGGGGGATATTAATTTTCTCTTATTTTTTTAAAAATCACAGGTCAGTTTGTAGTAGGCTTACTCGATTTACAAAAGAGTTTCAAAATCAATAAGCCATCTCTCTTTCGCTACTTCCAAAACGTCAGAGTCCAATCAAGGCGCAGTCAATCTCTCACTCTAATAAAAAGACATCATGAATTAAGGGGGAAGGGGTTGTAACTTCGTGTTGGTAATATAGTAATATGTTTTTTTATTTACTTTTTAAAAGATAGGTTAGAAATATACGTTTCCCGCTTTACTTCGCCACCCGAATTCCGGTTCAACATTATGCTTTCGCTCATGTATTTGATGCACAGGGGATCCCTGATGAGATCGCCATTTATGGCCTTAATTTTTTTTAAAAAATTATTAAATATTATAAATTTAGTATGTGGAGGGAGGGGGACTCAAAATTATGTTTAAAAAAAATTCAGTAGAATCCTTTGATTTATCTGAATTTCTATTGGACCATGTATACTAATTAATGTAATCCAAAAATTTATATTTCTACCTATGCTAAATTTTAAATTTTTGGAAAGTATATCTGTAAAAAATAAAAATATTTTTACATTAAATTATGATAAAATTTTATTTTTAAAATTACTTTGGTAGGCTGACATACGTTAAATTTATCGACAGTTATATGATCATTGCTAAGAAAACTTGGCACAATCTTCACCTCTAAAAAAATAAATTGAATATAAGTTATTTTTTTTTACCATAATAAGTGCTTAAATTGAGCGTTACGCTGCATTTATAGTAGCGCGGTTGGGTCAAGCGATGCAAAATTTTTGGCTACATAATTTACATAATTAACAATAATGGGTATAATTTATAATTATCCAGCGAAATGAAGAAATCGCGACTGCTGTTTATTAAAAAAATTATTATGGCTGTAACGAATCAGCTGTGATATCGGCAGCGATTAATTTGGGAACCCTTGAGAAAATCGTGCATTCTATAAATGCAGCATTAACAATTCAAAAAATAACGTATTTCAACCTTGTTTAAACTGAAGCGATACTGAAATATAAAAATAAAATGAATCGCATAGGTATATTTCTAAGGATGCTTGTGGGAAGGCATCACTATATGCATGGCGGTCAGCAAAATCCAGGTCATTCACAATTGTTCGATTTTTGTGTGGTGAGGATTATATATTTTAAACACAAGGTTCATGTTACAAACAGTATTATAACATTCTGAATTTACAAACCACATGCAACATATATGGCTAAACCCTTCACCATCATTTATAATTAACAAAAATACTGGCATAGAGTAATTATTCAATTAATATGTCGCATCTATGAAAACAACTTCAGGATATGCATCAAACATTTTTCATATATCCTTACTCTGAAAATAAATCCCTCTAAGCTCATCACCCTCAATATATCTATTATATTATTGGTCACATTTTGATTCTCCATTAATTGAAATAACTGTTTGAGGTCATTCAATTTTTTGTAAAATTTTACATAATTTATCAAAATTGACGGCAACATTAGTTAAATGATTGTCTAGGCCCTTCTTTGTTTGGGCATGTTATTAAACTCCACATCTATAAAAAAATAAAACGATTATCAGATTGATAAAGATCAATTAAAATTTAACACTCCAATCATATATAAATTATGATTTAATATAATATTATAATCATTCAAAAAGAATATTTAAATAAGTATAATTTATAAAAGTTCATCTTAAATACCAGAGACCTACAGAGGTAAAATCTTGAGAAATATTGTATGATATGTATACATTTAACCAGAGTTGTTAATTTAGTGAATCTCTAGAAGTTTATAGTAAATTTTATTTCATAATAAATGGCCAGAAATTTTTTTAATTTTACATGAATATTTTAAGATATGGATGTGTTGATCTATTTGAAAAGTAACAACTCTGGTTTTATTGGAATAAATAAATGTTTTAAAACCATTAATAAATATATATATAAAACTATAAAACAAGATATAATAATACCCAATTCATGATTGTGGTTTTTATCAAACTTTTATAACACAGATATGTATACATTTCCATTTGGTTTAAGTTGGACTTTGCTATTGCAACCTTGTTTAAAGGTTCTTTTTTCTCATAAATCTGTTTAGCTAGATTTGAAAATACGACCTCCTCTTTTACATTATATGTGATTGTATTATTTATATATGGGATTATCATGAGGCTTAAAACGCGATATATAAAAATTCGATAAGGTTTCATAATTGCTCATGAATTGTTTTAGACTAGAAAAATCTTTTAGTTCTAAATCATATCTTATTTCCTATATAAAATGATTTCAAAATTACTATTTCATTTTCCATTAAATAAAAAAAAAATGGGTTAAAAATTAAAAAAACAAGCGTGTTGAATAAAAAATATAAAATAACTTTATATAGCACGATTTTTTTGCTGATATATAAAGGCGTTCAAGTAGTGGTTTGATGGGCAAGATTAAAATTATGTTTAGTATATAAACAACATGTAGTACTTATTAACTTTATATAATACTAATTCAGTTCATATGGTTGTTAGTAGTGTTGTTAAACGGCTCATTTTGAGCCGATTTTTAAAAACGGCTAACTCAATATTTTAGCCAGAAAAATATTGCCTAAGCCTCGAGATTTCGCTAATAGATGTACAAACCTTTGTTCCTTCTACAAACAAAATCTTCAGGCTTGCGTAATATTATTCTAGATGAAATATTGAGTTCGCCGTTTTTAAAAATCGGCTCAAAACGAGCCGTTTAACAACACTAGTTGTTAGTATTGATGAAAAAAAATAATAATAACCAATAAATTTTTAATTCTACGATATTTGTGGTTTTTTTGAATCAAATGTTTAATAAATTTAAAATTATAAGTGTAAGAGACTTAAGTAATAGATTTTTTGAAAAAAATGAAATCCGGTACAAAACCGGGATTGAAAAATGTGATTTTCCTATGTAATCAATCCGGTAAAGAGGAATAAAACATTTTCACGAAAAAATCTAGAATTTGTCAAAGAGTTTTTTTCAAGCGTAGATGTAAAATAAAAACCAGGGACATGGAGTTGTGAAAAATTAAGGAGCGCTATCGAAACGGGAACAATAATGGCCCAATCATAGCATTTTTTTTCTTTAATGATTTTTTTAAATTTAATGGATAATTTTGTACAAGTTACTGTCTAGGAGAGATGTTTTTTTTGATATTCAAATTCCTATATAAATACAACCGCGCAAATATAAATGATAGTCCATAAGAGAATGCATTAACTAATACTTAGACAGGGATTCGAACCGAACCCGGAGAAGAAAACTCGGGTTTTTGGGGAAAAATCTGAACCCGAACCAAACCTGAACCCCAATTATAAAATTTTCAAACCCCGAACCGAACCCGTGAAATTTATTTGAGCCCGGGTTCAGTGTATTGTTTAAACATATATTAAGATATTTGTGTAAATACAAATATTAGTAATTTAATTGAGATTTTATAATATTTTCAAATTTCCAATTAAGTCTATAAATAATCAGCCATCTTTGAGACACATTATCACATATAATATACTTATTAAATTTTTTTTATTATTATAAAAATTAGATTCTCGATTTTAATAAAAAGAAAAAAGCTATAAATAACTATTTGAACCACTCAATACCGGTCCAAAAACGGTAATATTATAAGTAGTTACGAGTTTTTATCCTACCACGGGGATGATAATAAAAATGACATTTTGTTATATCGAATTAAATTAATTTAGGGACAATAACTGTATTATTCTGGCTCACTATAAGGTACCGTTAGTTTTATTCCAGAGTTTGAACAGCTGTTCAAAATAATAAAAATAAAAAAATTTTTTGAGAATACTCAAAGTGCCTAAATTTAGGATTTCAGTTGAGGTTAAATAATCGGTAGATTTAACTTAATGAATCGCAACATACCCATTTAATCTCACCTATTAAATTAAAATATGCTATGCGCTAATATTACAATGAACCTTTGTCAGGTTGGATTTCAGTCATATACGGAAATAAATCATCGTCCTCGTGTAAGTGATCTTTCAAAGGGCCGTTGATGGAAGAGTCGTCATTTTTAGTAGATACGTCATTTCCGAGGTCATTTTCAGGGCGATTAGATTCAAGTCTATAACCTTTTTTCGGGTCGTAAATGTAATCGTCTATATCCTCTAGATCGGATTTATATTTCGAAATTCCGTTGGGAATTTTTGAATCATCGGGAATGCCGCCCTCAACCTTAGAATCAAAATCGGTCGATTTATGATACAATTCATTGGCATTCATTGAGATATTCAGGAATTCTTCTGATGGCTTAGATTCGTTGAAACTTGATGTTATCGTCAAACTTTCATTGCCGTTGCTAGTATAATCATAATTAGACAGACCACTTTTATTTGAGGGATACTTTTCAGAGTCATTCGAAAGTGTTGTCAGAATCTCAGAGTTATCCGGTAATATATTTTCATTGGCATTTACGGGCAACCCCGAAACTTCATTTGGTAGCTCGGATTTATTTATAAAATGGGACGTGTTACTTGAAGTTTTTACGTTGCCAGAAGTTGCGACATTTTTTGGCGAGGTAGAATCATTCGAAAGTGGTATTCTTTTATTTCCAGAGTATTCCGGTAATCCAATTTCATTGGCATTCATTGGTATACCCGAGACTTCCTTTGGAGGATTAGATTCGTTAAATAAACTGAGCGAGTCATTTAAGATGCTCTTGTTGTCAGATGTCAAGGAATCATTTTCCGAGGGGTGATTTATATAATCATTTGAAAGTTTTGTTTTCAGATTTTCAGAATCATCCGGTAATCTATTTTCGTTGGCCTTCATTGACATATTAGCGACTTCCTTTGGTGTCTCGGATTTGTTTAATAAATGGAGATCTACCTTGGAAGTGTTCTCGCTATCAGACGTTGTGATATTATTTGCCGACGGAAGCATTTCAGCATCAATCGAAGGTGTTACTATATTTTCTTCTTTTGATATATTCCCGTCGTCCTTTAATTCATCTGTAATTAGGATATCTAGAAGTTTCTCCGATGGCGCTGATCCCTTTGAATCGAAAGTGGAAACGTTAAAACTAGCTTCGTTATTTGAATCAACGAGCGAGGGTTCGATACTATTTTTTAAAGAATCCATTGTTCTAGAATTATTAGAAAGAAGTACTATTGATGGATTTTCGAACTTTTTTTCCGATTCTTCTTTATCCTCAACTTCCTCCGAAGATTCTGATCCCTCATCGGAAGAGGCATCAAAATTGGTTTCCTTATTTGTGTCATCGTGAGCGGGATCAACGTTTAAATGATCAAGAGTTTGAGAATTATCAGAAGGAGGTACTGCTAGTGGATTCACGAAGTTCCTTTCTTTCGATACTTCCTCATCTCCATGTTTTAATTTATCGATACTAACTGGACTGCGCGGGGCAAATTCCGGTGTCTCGTATTCTTTTAAATGGCGCCCGATTTTCAAATTCTCTAGATGTGATTTTACAAAATTATTATCTAAGGAATTTTCTATTTCAGAATCGGAAACGGCTGTTGTTACAGGATCCTCGATGTCCCTTTCATTCAATTCTTCCTCATTCTCGTAATCAGTAGATTTATTACGGGCCCGTATCCCATTTAATTTATTTATGTTCCCTGAGGTATCTGGGACTCCATCTGGCGACTTCAGCTGGTCAAAATTGAGGACGCTATTCGAAATTTCCGTGGAGTGTAATTTTGAGACATTATCATCTATGGTGGGAACCCCTGAATTATTTGAAGGCGATAAATCCATAGCAGACGTTTCTTCATCATTAAAATCCTCTTTATAATGAGGTGGAATGGTATCATCGAAGGAGACCTCTTGCCGAATATTATCGATATTATCATTTATAGCATTGTTAATGATTTTGTCATTCTCAATACTTTTGCCAGATAGTTTCTGTTCCAATAGATCATTCAAATCTAAATTGGCAAATAATTAAAATATAAATTTAGTAAACAAAACAGCTGTTATCAATTTTTTTTGGTTTAGTCAAAATTTTTATTATTTGAAAAAAAAATCCCATTTTATTCTGAATTCATAGTTATAGCTAGAATTCGCAGTGATTGGTATATTACGCAGCGAACGGGGTAACTTCCAATTCAGGGTTATGCTTAGCCTATTTTAAAATAATTTTGTTGACTTGGCCCAGTTTTTTTTTTAAATTCATTTTTTATGAATTTATGTTAGTCCTCAAATTTTAAAATTTTGTCATTAAAAATAATTTTGGATGTATTTTGTAAATCTGTGTTTCAAATATTACTAGGCGAATAAATGGTCGGTAAGTGGAAAATAATTTTCCGGAATTGATTTTCTCAAAATTATTAAATATTTTATTTAGGGAATTTTATTTTGTAGATTATATTTATAAAGTTTTTTTTTTCTCCTATTCTATAAATTTTGTAATTTTTAATATCTAAAAAATGGGGATTTATTTTCTGTTATCCTAGACTAGATTCCAGCCTAGGTTATGTGATTTGTAAACTGGGCCTAGTTTTGTATTTAAAAAAAACTGGCTTGCATGTTTAGGGGAAATAGGAATTCCAAAAAATCAGCTATTTAAGAAAAAACAAAACATTATTTTTTTTAAATAAATGAATAACAACTACTACGAAATTATAAATACCAATTTTATTGCAAATTGTTTGATATCACAATCAATTGTAATCATATTAAATTTATATTACCAAAACCAAATCAAGCATAGTTGATTTTTAGATGTGGAGAAAAACACATTAATCAAAGCAAAAAAAAAGAGGATGAAAGTCGAGAAGGATAGCTTCGCCAAGGTTATCAGAGATATTATATTCTGATGAGCAATGTTGTTAAAATAGCGCGCTAGCGCGCTATTTTTTTCAGTAGCGGTAGCTATAGCGCGCTACTTTTTTTAAAAAATAGCGATAGCGGTGGCTCGCTACTTTCAATTTTACATAATAAATACATCTAAAAATTATTAAAATATATTTTTTATAAAATCTGAAATTATAATCCTTTTATTTAATTTAATTTTGAAATTTATATTTAAAAATATACATTATTGTTATATATTAGATATAAACAGTTGTTAAATAGCAATCTGTATTTAATTTATATTTCGCGCATTCATTAAATTATATATCTTTGAAATTCCGTTATTGGTATGTCCTTGCTTTTATCTTATTTTATATTTCATTTTACATTTTATATTAAGCATTATAAATCTTGTTATGTGTGAGATTGTTGAAGATATTGAAATTTCTTTGGAAAATGAGCAAAATATAGATGATCCTTTCCCAAAATTCAAGAAATACTTTAACCTTGAAGAAAAAATTAATACTGGATATCGGTTTCGGTGCAAGATGTGCCGCAAAATTATCTCTTCAAATCATACGAGCAGCTTTAATTTGAAAAAACATTTAAAGGTAATATATTAAACAAATTTAATATCAATGTGTAGGCTAATCTTTAATTTTTAAAATAAATTAAAATCAAAAACCAATCATTTTTTTTATATATTCATAAATTTTATCTAAATTATTTAAAACATTTTAAAATAGTTTCATTATTATGTATACTTATCTCCTACATAATTTTTATTCTAAGTATTTTATAATTTTAGACTGTGCACACTTAAAATTATAAATAGATTGAAAAATATCTCAAAAGTTTTGGGATAATGAAGAAGATAAACCCACTTCCAAATCAAATTTAATACAAACAAAATTAACCTTTGGATTCATCAACACCTGGTGTATCCCAAAAATTGGCTGACAAAGTCATTATGAACTTTATAATAGATACAGTTCAACCATTATCCTTGGTGGATAATGATTCTTTTATAAAGATGATAAACACTTTTTCTCCACGGACCAAGATATTTTGCCGGCAGACATTGATGGCAAGAATTTTGGAGAGCTTTAAGGAAATGAAAGAATCTTTGATATTAAATCTATCAGATGTCTCCTACGTCTGTACGGCAGATTGCTAGACTCACAATAGAAGGTAAAAATGTTTATTTTCTGATTTATAATATGTCATATTTTTAGAGCTTATTTAGGAGTAACTGCACATTGGATTGATTCTAAAAATCTTAAACGAAAATCTGTAGCGTTAGCTCTAAAGAGAATAATTGGCTGTCAGACTTATGACATTCTAGCCAATATAATTGCAGAAATCCACAGGTCTTACAAAATTCAAAACAAGGTTTGTAAGATGATTACGGATAATGGGTCTAATTTCCTGAAGGCCTTCAGGTTTTAAATTAATTATATTTTTTTATAATATGATATAAATAATATAGAATATTTGGGGAAGATAATAATAATAACAATACTAGTAATATTCCTGACAAAAATATTGAGGATGGAGAACAAGAAGAGGATGATGAAATGGAGTTTGAGATAATTATTTTCATGACATCCTTGGTTTTAAATTATTTTATATTTAATTTTTCACCAATATAAAATAAAATTTATAATATTAAGAATCTTCAATAAAGTCTTCTATGTTATCTAGCCATCATCGTTGTTCCTGCCACAACCTAAATTTAGTTGCGACAGTGGATGCTGAAGAAGCATTATTAAATGAGGATTTTAAAAGAGTATCAAGATCTACATTTTCTAAATGCCAAGCTCTTTGGAATAAACAAAATAAGTCATCAAAGACATCTGATATTTTCAAAAAAAAATTAGGAAGTTATTTATTGACACCAAACATTACAAGATGGAATAGCGGTTACAATGCTATAAAACTTTTAGCATTGTTTCTAGATGAGAAAAAAATGGAAATGAATTATATATTGGATCATTAGTTTTATGATTTGGATTGGTCGTTTATACTCAAGTGCAATAATAAATAAATTATATATATATATGTAACAAATTATAGTCATGTTTTTATATCAATATTTTATTTGTGGAAATAAAGTTACGTAAAAAAAATATATTAAAAAAAAAATCAAAGTAGCGTAAAAAATAGGTTTTTAAAGTAGCTAATAGTGCGCTACTCATTTGAAAACGATAGCGGTAGCGATAGCGCGCTAATTTTTTTATAAATAGCGGTAGCAATAGCGCGCTACTTTTAAAAGTAGCGTTTAACAACACTGCTGATGAGGATGATGTACTAAAACCTTTTTAGTTCAGTTTCATCATTGAATGAACTGCAATCTCCTAGTAAATGACAAGGAGAGGTATGGCCTTAATTGCATTGCTGGCATCAATGACATCCTCCGATAAATAAATTATTATATGCCCAATATTCTAGAACCTTGCAATCTTCAAAGGATGACAGCCTAAGGCCTGACCATTTTCCCTTGGGTAATGGGCAAATCCTTTTTTGGGGTTATACATGTGTCTCATATTTCCTTACTGATTACTGATTTAAATAAACCTGCCAACAAATATTAAAACTTCATCAATTTAAATTCCCGCCAATTTCAACTTCTGCCAAAAGACAGCTTCCTCCTATCACCTTTGTTTTTTTTAAATTAGCCAACATAATTAAATTAAAAACACTTGAACATAGGGAATTCTTATTCCTTAGGTAGAACATAAAAATAAACATTTTTAAATTTAACTATATATTTTGGTTAAGCAAATAAAATAAAGAAAAATTTACAAAAAAAAGATTGAAATAATTTTCAGTGCAATAATAATTTTAAAAAATATATCTCTTATTTTATTTATACTACCTGTCATTTAATATTCAGGAACCTGAACAAATCTATGTATCAGAACATTAATTAGAAATGGTTCTAAAAAAGTACAAGTAATTTAAATTTTACTTGTATAAAATAATTTGTGATTTATTTGAGATGGTTTATTATTTATCAATTTTATTCAATTATACATGCTGTCTTAAAATGGGCTCACAATAGGTGTAATGGTTAAAAGTAAGTCTGCAGAAGGAAAGTCTGACATTTGTTTGTAGAAAGTATGAAAGAGTTGCAAGATGATGGTAAAAAAATTGGGTTTGATATTGGAAATGGAAATTGGTAAAAAGGCAAAGTTTTATGAAAAAAAAATCTAAGATATCTACAATTTATATAGATAAAAATGTCTAGCATTGAGAGAAGTTACATAATGTAAGACCTGCAAAACATGGGCAATTATGCTGATATACAAAGCCAGGTTAGAAAGAATAGAATAAGAGTGAAAAATTGATGGGTTGAGAAGAGATGCTGTTGTTCGCAAGTGTAGGGAAAAAGATGCAGGGTGTGACCAAAGAAAAACAAGATGAAAGTGGTGGATAATGATTTAAATTGTTAGTTTTGACTATGGGTGATGCCCATAGTATGGAAAGAGAATAGGATAGGAAAATGGCCTACCTCAGCAAACCTGGAAATGAGTTGCTAAACAAATAAGAATTCAGAATCAAAACCCTTTGTCCAGATTTTAAAAGGATTATTTTACATTTTTATATATTTTTTGATTTTTCAATTCATATATATTCAATTAATTATTCAATCTTTTGAGGTTGGTTTTGTTTTGCATAATTTAAAATATCAAACAATAAAAAAATATTTTCATTTGTTAAGTATTTTTTTAAAAAATAAATATTTAAAATAAAGTTTAAATAGAAAATTATGTAAATTTAGGTAATTATAAGAAATTTAACCTTGGATTTCAGATTCAGTACTATTTATAGGTGGTGATCTCCTGCTCTCTTGTCCTTGAAATCTCTGTTTAATAAAATCTAAATAATTTTAATTAAAATATTTGTAATATAAACAATTTAATACATACCATTTTCCTCCTTTATTTTATTATCAACTATGTCATTTAAAAGATTATGATTATTTGTAAGTCCATATAATGATGAACTAAGATTTTGTGTTAAATTAAAAATATCTAACTCTCTGAGTAAATCAAGCTAAAAAAAATTGTAAATTAATAATTTATGTTTCGATTAATTACATTTGAGGCATCTACTTTTTCTAGATCTCCTTGATATAATCGTGTTATAACTTTGGTATTATTTACATCAAAAAGTCCTTGTCTATTAGTAGATATCTATAATAAAAATATAGTGGCATGTCAACAATTTATAAGACCTTTCCTTCCCAAATATTTTTTGTTTTTTCGTAGCCAGTGCTAAAAACTATTATAAATTCGTTTTCAGTATATTGTAAATATTTGCGATCACTAGTAGTGTGTGGGTTGATGGTCAAAGCTATAGCTATAGGAACTATTTTTAAGAATATAAAAAATAATAATATTAAACAATATAACTTGTGCAATTAAGATTTGCACATTGTCTATTTTGTATGGTTAGCCTAGCGTTTAATGTAAATATTAAAGCTATAAATGCCAACAGTTTATATATAGTCATAATTTGAATCCTTAGATTTTATGATTATAGTCCAACTCAAGGAAATTACCATTACATTTGATTTATGAACTCAATTCGTCAATGTAAATCACATGACCTGTTCATATTTGACAGATTATTAATTAAATCTAAATTTATTATATATCTTAACTTAATTCTAATCCATATCCCTTAGACACTTCAGATATTTGTTCAATTTGATGAAATATATCTCATCTTATAACACTACATTTTTGGACATGTGAGGCCTTCCCTCTTTAATATCTAAAAGAAAAGGGTTTTTAGTGCTGTACAGCGATCTTAAAGAATGTCTGCGCAATATTAGTAGAAATTTGCGGAGAAAATATATTATGAATCTATGGTTCTATGCAGTTTTCCATACTCATTTCAGATTTTACCATCTCCTATTTTTTTAGATGGTTTTAAATCATATTATAATTTAATACATATATATTTTTATGAATTACAAGAGTTCTAAATATTATTTTTTTTTTAAATTATCAAATTTCTTTCAGACCTTACCAAGAAATAACGTTAGAAAACCAAAATTGATTAATTTAGTATGATTTCTTTATTTTGTTTTGCCAATACATCCCGGAGTTGAAATAACAATTATTCTAAAGAAGGAGATTTATTTGAAATCTCGACAAAGTTGTTTATATTCTGGATCAAGTAATATAAAGCCAGTTATTAAAATAATTGTAGCATGTCTTATATCTTCCTTGACTATTTAAGTCAAGAGTTACCTGGATCCTAGGCTATCAGGGAGGGTTTGGTTTTCCCTATATATTTAATTTAAGTTCAATAAGTCCATATTTACATTTTTAAGAGATAAATTTGTGTTATCCATTTTCCTTATATTATGCTTTTTTTAAAAAAAATTATTATAATCATTTTTTTTTGTTAAATTAATACTCTTTATTCATATTAAAAATAACATGATTAAAAAAAAATAGGATATATGCACTATTGAATTAAGAATATATATTATAAAACAAATATGGATATATTAAAAATTAAATTTAAAAAAATATATATGCAAAAATCTATGAAGAAAAACATTAAAAAAGAACTGAGAAAAAAAAATATTTAAAAAAATAGAAATGAGTGAATGCTTAAAAAATTTGACCAGCATTCCAGGGAAATCTGTTTGCAGGTAAAATCCATCATTGGGGTATTATTAACTTACTTATTATTCTTTCAAATTATTGTTTGTAGTAATATCTTACACGTATTTAGGGAGATTGGGGTGGGGGAGGAGGGCAGGGGCGTCGCTAGCTTTTACAATCTCAGGGGGCTCAACTAAAAAAAAATTATGGGCTTTGTCCCGTTACCGAACTTCGGTCGGGTTTTATATTGGTATATTATTCTTTTTATAAATTTGTTAACTCTGAACAATTATTCTGAATTTCTTATTTTGTCATTAATTATATTATGCATACAAAATAAACTGGCATATAAATAATTAAAACAATACATGGCCTTTTTAAAAATAAGATTTTTTACAAAATATATTTATTACAGTATAAAATATTTTCGATTGCTAATATAAAAAAAATTTGCGTCGTAAGTATTACAAGTGATAAAAAAGGTTAATTAGTTCATATATATGCCTCAATTGATAATAGTTTTTAAAAACTACATAATGCAATAATATAATTCTTATCAACTTACTTTGACAAAAGGTTATGAAGCTAATATAACTCTCTTTTACCATTTTAGACAATGTTTTCTAGAATAGACTAACTAGGAAAAATTATAGGCCTTACCAAATCAACAATTCTTGAAGAAGAGAATATAAACGACCAATCTAAATAATAAAACTATATGGTGGTTAGAGCGTCCTCTTTAATAGATAAGTAATCGAGAAAATTATTGTGAGATATTAAATTTCTAAAAGATTATCTTCCATTTTTAATGATATATAGACGACTACACAGTTGACCATGATTGCTTATCTAAAATATGAAATTATATGCTCTCAGCAGCTGTAGCAATAATCTTAAATTACATTGCCACACAAATAATAGATGCTGTTTATTTGCAGTCATAGCCACGACACTCACGATGGTAACCCGTATCAGAATTTTTTATGTTAGATAAATTGATAAAACAAAAACATTAAAAATCTTTAGAAGAAATTATGCAAATATATTGAAGCCTTGAGTTATTTACACGGCAAGGATGCCCTATAGGAAATGAAACATTTTGTAACTATAAAATAAGAACCAGAGTGATATCATGAAAGCAATTAAGATTATTTATATTATTGTCGCACCACCTCTAGTTGGTTTATTATATCTAAAAATAATAGTAGTTTGTAATAATATCAAAAATATGTTTGTATTAAAAATTTAACTCAAAACTGTTTTTCAAAGAAGAAAAAAATAGCACTCCTAAAAACACATAAAAAAGGAGAAGAAAAGATATCTAATATCCATTGTGGGATGAATAATTTATTTAATTTTCAAGATTATTTTTAAATATAAATAGATGGGAAAAGCATTTATTGGTAAAATTTATTAAAATATTAACTGTAATATATTATACTACCGTCAAATACGTCTGTAAAAGTGGCATTCTACCTAATATTTTATAACCTATTATATAATAGGGGATTATAAACTATATGTCTGCTTTTTTATAAAGAAATCTCCTATACTTATTTGGACTTTTAAAATATTGTTAAGAAGAGGCATGATTTAAATTTAAAATTGAATAATATAGTTGATTATTGATTTTGAACTCGGCTAATATTTGTTAATTTTTAATTATTAAATGATTGTATTTATTTAATTAGGGTTGTATAATATGTTGTGATGTCCTAGTTGATCGCTATCTATAAAAGATTGATTTTTTTTATTCTTTATATTAAATTTACTTTAACCTCGCGGACTCGTTTTATAAAATTAACTCAATAATTCGGTATAGATTAGTTGATAGATTTTGTAAACTATATAAACGTATAAATTTATTGTACTTTCTAGTTAAAATATTTTACATATATTTTTATAAATAAAAATCTTAAATTTTTTAGTTAAATCTTGTCTAACTCCCTGCTAACTGTAACATGGTGGCAGCGGAATTTATAATTTTAAAATCTTTTAAATTTATTTATTTTATACAAAATATAATTTAGATTAAAATGGATAAATCAACAATGAGGAGAATCGTTAAACTAGATATCAAACTAGACGAAATTAAAATTGGGCTATGATGACTTACAAAATATTCTAAATCCACAGACAACATGATTTTAGCTTCTGAAATATGTTCAACTAGATGAAAAAGTTCCGGGATATTTTATTTATTCTAAAAACATGTAAGTAACGATTAATTTGAAAAAGTAAAAAAAAATTAAAATTTTAATTATAAAATCTCTAAAATAAAGATATGTAAAAAATAAACACATATATTATGATATTATCTTTTCCCGAGTATAGCGGCGACATGCAATCTTATATTGTTAAGGCTGAGAATTTTTTTAAAGATAGTAAGCTCAAGTAGATATGAGGCTATGCTATTAACTATTAATTTACCTGATAACATCTTTAACCTAGTTAGGGCCATATCGACAGATGAGGAGTTTGAATCTCCAGATATTTGCTGAAAAAGCTAAAATTATTTTATAAAAGTAATGATATAAATCTTATAAATAAAAATATTGATAAACATATAATTAATACTTATAAATTAAAGAAAATTTTAGTTGACATAATATCATTTGAAATAATTTTAATATCTCAAGATAAAAATAATGAATATATAAATATACCCATAAGATCACATGGTGAAATTTTAAAAGAATATTATGACTGTAAAAATAATAATATAAATCTTAGTATTGAAAAAATCAGTGAAAATGAAGTAGAAATTCCCATACACAAAATTTAAAAAAAAATAGAATCCAAATCATTAAAGCTTGACACTTACAAACATAAAAAAATCAAGAGAATAGACAATACAAATAAACTGTTGCATGTGCGCCATTGTATATTTAAATACTTAAATAATTCAATTTATATTTAAAGTTCAATTTGTATATCTCAAGGCAATTAAATATATATATTTTAATATATATTTTCATTTTAAACATCACTTGTTTTTCTTATTTTAAATATAAAAATATATTGTAAATTACTATAATAATATTATCAATAAAGACTATCATTTTTCTTCGATTGAATTTAATCAAGTGTCTTTGTTCTGTCTAATTTTTATCCTGTGTGACCATCCTAATAACCGTTCTAGATTAAATATTCAAGTTTATAATTCATTCTCATTGGAGGATAGTAATAATAACATAAAAGTCTTACTCAAAACCCTTGACCTAAAATTTATTGCCGAAAACATAACTGATGAACCTACTAAGAAATATAAACTGTTCGAGACAATAAATAAAGATTTGGCGGTGAGTATAATGGATTCGATTGATAATTTATCTTATGAGCAAATGAAGAATTTAATACATAAAAAATTTGAAAAGAATAAAATTACGCATATAATGAAAGTTTTTAGTACTAAACCAGATAGATTAGAGTCATCCAGAGAATATTTGGATAGGCTGAAGGCGTGAGGATCTGGCCTTAATTCAGAATTGATAGCGGTTCAATTCATTATTAATTGTCACAATGAGAAATTAAAAACAAGATTGATAGAAGAAAACACGACAGACTTGATTATCATTGAGGAGATTGTTGTCAAATGTCAATCATTGGAGATTAATAATAAAAAGTCCTTCATTGAAAAAGATACATAGAGAAAAGATGACAGATATGGTGCACAATGCTATGCGACATGGAATGAAAACAAGCATAATGGTAGGACCTACAACAACAACAACAGCAGCAGCAACAACAGCAATTACAACAATTTCAAAAAGACGGAGATGATACAAACCCCTTATAATTAAGGCCAAGAAATAAAATTAATTTTATTAATGATATTATGATTGACCTTCAAGTTAATAATTATGATTTTTCTTTTATGATAGATACTGGTTCTCCAGTGTCATCCTTGCCCATGAAAGAGTTTGAAAAGCTT